TGTCGTGAAGGGGTACCGAGTCTGAGTGGAACCTGCGGGCACATACAGAAGTCATACAGAGGTCATACAGAGGTCATACATAGGTCATGCAGAGGTCATGCAGAGGTCATACAGAGGTCATACAGAGGTCATACGGAGGTCATACGGAGGTCATACAGAGGTCATACAGAGGTCATACGGAGGTCATACAGAGGTCATACGGAGGTCATACAGAGGTCATACAGAGGTCATACAGAAGTCGTACAGAGGTCAAAACACGCACACACATACACACACATACACACACTTACACACACGTACACACCTATACAAACACACGTTATACAGAAGTCAGGATGGAAGAGGAGGAGGGAAGGGTATGAGAGGAAGGTGGGTATGGGAGGAGGGAGGGTATGTGAGGATTGGGAGGTAAAACATTAATTTAACAGAAATTTTGTTCTTCATTTAGGAGGCAGACTTACGATCACGCACACACACACAAACACGTGCGCTTGCAACACATTCACCCACGCACTCTCACTCCCTTAAACACCCAGGCTGAGAGGGATACAACATTCCAGCAGCCAGACCAATAATCTTGATTTAAAAATTTAATTTTCTCCCTGTCTACGTCCCCATACACTGCAGTAACGGCCATGTCATTCGCTGACGTCACTAGACACTTAAATAACTGCCATGTTATTCGTTGACCTCACTAGACACTGCAGTAACGGACACGTTATTGGCTGACGTCACTAGACACTGCAGTAACGGCCATGTTATTGGCTGACGTCACTAGACACTGCAGTAACGGCCATGTTATTGGGTGACATCACTAGACACTGCAGTAACGGCCATGTTATTCGCTTACGTCACTAGACACTGCAGTAACGGACACGTTATTGGCTGACGTCACCACACACTGCAGTAACGGACATGTTATTTACTGACGTCACTAGACATTGCAGTATGGGGCTCTCCTGGCCTACAGGTTAAAGTGTTCGCCTCTCCTTCAATAGGTCCCGGGCTCGAATCCGGACAGCGATGGAATCCTTTCTTGCCCTCTAACCATGTTCTGTCGTCTGCTTTCGTCTCCACTTTCTGCCCCCGCCCCCTCACCTCCTTTGCCCCCCTCCTCTGGGCCCTCACTCTTTCTGCAGCCTTTCTACTGCTACTCCTCGGCTCCTTCTTACTGCTGTCAGTCAGACACACACCTGGTCTTAGGGTAGATAAGATCGAACACCCAGCCTTCTCGGATTAGGGCGAAAAACTCGGAGGTCCCGTGTGTAAATTGCGCACGTTAAAGATTCCTTAGTGGCCCTGAAATCGATAAGTGTAGGCTTCAGCCGCCACCCCAGCAAAATTCAAAATGTCCTACCTGCTGAAAAAGTTTATAGTGCGGTCAAAAATTCATGGCACAACTTATTGTCAAATATCTCCTTAACTATCCAACATAAATTTTCCAACTTTTGCATGATTACTTATATCAGTTTGTCTTAACAGGTGAATAATTTTTCTAATTCCTGCACACTGTGTTCTAGAAAATTTCTAAATAAATACTATTAAAAAATCCCAGTCGATGGTTTTTACAGATTCTAAAACGTTTACAGCTCCGGCAATATCGCTTTTAAAAGCAAGTCTGTCATTTTTTTTTCTAATCGCAACATTATGTTTATTGAACATATGTTTAGGGAACCTTTAGTGCAAAAAATGGGTTCACTATAAACTAATTTCTCGTAAGAAGTTTTGCCACTAAAAAGTGTCATTGGCGAGCTGTGACGTATACAAAATGTGTGCGAGAAGCGGGAAGTGCTGTCAACAATCACATTTTTCGCGTGATGAAGATTTTATAGTATTTTATATAAATCTAAGAAGAAAATGTTTTTAAAAATCGAACCTCAGTTGTTGTGGAAAAATGTGATTTAATTAAGACAAATTGATGCAAACTGCTGTGCAAAGTAAGGGTGGCATTGATTCACCCGTTAAAGAGACATTTAGTATAGTATAGTATAAGGTTTTACGGCGCTCGCAACTGCTAAGGTCATATGAGCGCAAAGAGACATTTGAGGATAAGTTGCGCCTCGAATTTTTTTTACCGCACCATAGTGTGTCCCTCGCGCTCTTATGACCGTATGCAGTAACGAGCGCCGCAATACACTTACCAC